GCTGCAAGTTGGCAGCCGACTGCAGGCTGCAGGTTGCAGGTTGCAGATTTCACCTTGCCGGTTGCAGCTTACAGGTAAGTGGCATACGCTGTCGCCCTTATGTGTGTAAGTGCCTCTGACTTGTAAATTAGTGTGCTCATGCAACAGACATATAGTATATGCATACAAGTATATATCTATGTATGTATTCATTTCATATGTACACACACCTACTACTTATACACATGCACTGCTACTGCACATGCCACCGGCTGCGTGCAATTTAAAGCATGACTTTGGTTTTAGCTCACATTACGTATACGGCGTGTGGATCGGCTGTGATTTTGTGGCGGCCTCAATGTAGTTTGTTTTTGTTGTTTGTTGTTGTTATTAAGGTTGCCTTTAATGTTGTTACTGCATGACAACAGTACAACAATGGCCTTTCACCTTGCTTGTGTGCGTGCGACTATATTGGTGGTATTGGTGGAGTTTGAAATTTTTTAGAGCATACTTTTTTGGGCTGATGCAAGTGCATTATTGTGTTTTGCAAATTAAGGCGAGCGTGTCGCCTCGGACAGTTTTTGAGCGCAATTAAAAGCGCGCATTAATCAACAGGCAGCGCTGATGGCGGCCTTTGGGTGCCTCAGTGTTTGGTTGGTTGGTTGGATGGGTGGTTGGGTGATTCGTTGGCCCGCCGACTCCTTTAATTTATTTAGACCCAAATAAAACGAACGAACGCAAGCAAAAAATGGCAAACGCCAGAAATTTATCTCCTGCATGCCTTGTCGCATAAATTATGTCGCAGAAAACCACCCAGCAAACCACTACCACCAGCAAGCGCCCAATGGCACAGACTGCCAAAGCGTATAAAACAAAAGACAGTTAAAATGAACTAAAATCAAATGAAATGTGGCGTTGAGTGGAGGGCGACAGGCGCATCGCCTAATGACAACCACACTGAGCACGAGCAGGAGCACGAGCACGGGCAGGAGACAAGAGCAGTAGGTGGCAGAAGAGTAGACCGGAGTAACGGAAACGGAAATGAAAGCAACGCGCAGCGGCGTTGCCCATAACAGAATGAAAAACGGCGACGTTAGCAACAACGGCAACGACAACGACGGCGGCAAACGATGACGATGGCTATGACGATGTTGATGGCGTTTGCGTTGCAACAACTATAATAATACAAACAACAACAGCAAGTGCGCCCAGCAAATGTTGCATGGCAAATGCGATTGTCAAGCAATGACCTCATTAGAATTTACGACGTCAGAGAAGATCAGAAGAGCGCAAAAGACGCAGAGAAATGGAGAAGTAGAGAGGGGGAGAGGGGGAGAGAAGGCAAGGCTTGTGCCATTAATAACTGCAAGCAAAACCGCAAACAATTAGTGCAAAACACCTAGCGAAGACAGTCGTACAACCACAACAACTACAACAGCAATGCAATGCAGCATTTGTGGCATCAACGATACATGGGATGCACTGATAGGCACGTAGTGGGCCCAGCAAGTGCCCCATGTAAGGATAGAGATTGGGTAAGGATAGGAGAAGGGCTGGCGCGCCGCCTGTCAGCATGCATGCAACGTCATATACGTCAAGTATGTTGGCACTCCCATGCACGCACAGACACGCAGCGTTGGCAGCTAAGGCAGCGGCTTCTAATAATGGCGATATAATCAGTGCTAACAAAAAACGACAACGTTTTTATGTCCTCGTTCTCGTCATCACACACGCCCCCCGCCCCCTTTTTCTTAACATTCCCATCACTGTCGTCGCAAATATGAAACGGAACTGCTGTTGACTGTTAACTGCAATGGCGTCCGCACGCGACGTCTGCCCGCCAGCTATTTAAGGGGCGTGGCATGCTGACACAAACAAAGGTGACACAATATGACAGCAGCAGCAGGAGTAGCACCAGCGTCAGCGCTAGGAACACCGACAACATCAGCACAAGGACAATGACATTGACGTATGAAGGGCGTGCACAAGAGTGGCTTTAAAATACAACTTTTAGCTAAGGCGAGACATACGCATACATTTATATTCATTGGACGACAACTGCATGTAACAACTATATAAAAATGTGATGCCTAGTCGACGCAATGGGTTTTACAATGCCAATGAATTCAAAAAGCAGCTTTAGCTTTGGTCAGGCAGGCATATAAACCGTTTAGTGTAATGTAATTTCATTACACTCAACAAAAAAGGAAAGAAACAATAACAATGGTACACATTCAATTGCTTTTAGATTGACCCTTCATGGCCTACATGTACAAGTTAGCATTTCGGTTAATAGATATTAAAGAAAAGATAATTAAATAATATATAGAATAATTAAAAACCCAACTTTCATTTATAAGAATCATTTTCAAACTTGCTACTTTGTTGCACACTTTCTTGTTTGGAAAAAGAAACCATTTTGTTTAAGATTAATAGCCACAAATTAAACATAACCGAAACATTCTCTTGTTGAGAAAGTTGAATTGTGTAAGTTCCTAAAGAATCGTATTTTATTTATTAAAAACTTTTTAAACAGCTTAAACTTATGGTTAAATTACACAGGTATTAAAAGACTTTACCAACTTGCCACTTTAAACTAAAATTCCTTGTCCCATGTGCGTTGGCCACTTCACCAAAGTGACAGCCCAAATGCAACCTCGCTCAAAAGTGTACTTTGCTGTCATATTTCAGTGGCAACCCAGTTGGAGTCTATCCTCCTCGGCTAGCCTAACCAACTAAATTACATCGCATTTAAGTTTTATAATACGCCCAAATTAGTTGTCAACAAAAAAAAAAAAAAAAAAAAAAAAAAAAAAAAAAAATCGAGAGAAAAAGTAGAATAGCAGATTGGGCTTATTTTCTTAGACTTACCTTTTGTTGCAGTGACAATATAATGTTTTCTTTTCATATTTCTGCTACAAGTAAATGCACAGGAGCTACCGAAATAGCAAATGGAAGCAAAAACTGGCAAGCCATGAAAACCGTAAGTAAAAGCGCAAAAACGGGAGCACCCGTCACATGACTAACAAAATAAGTAAACGAAGCGTTGGTAAAAAGATGTGTATGTGTATGGAATTGAGTGTGTGCTCATGTGTGTGTGTGTGTGTGTGTAAGTGGGTGGCTGTCTATCACGCTGAGTAAATGTGTGTTTGTGTGTGTGAATGTGTGGGTGCGTCTGCCAAGACAATAGACTGCGACAAGTGCGGAGTCTATAAAAACTACATATAAAAGCAAGAAGCAGCAGCCAAACAAAAACTAAAACTTGCAAATGCACAGCAGCAGAAACAGCAGAAGCAGCAGAGGCAGCGGCAGAAGCAACAATAACAACAATTGAGAAAACCGCATGCTCAACACAAAACTACAACCACAACTATACAGTTTTTCTTATGTGTGTGTTTGTGCTGAATGGAAAGACAGCAAAAGACACCAAAGAGACAGCCGAAGCAGCCGAACAGAAGAATGGAGGGATGAAGGGATGGACAGACAGAAAGACAGCTGTATTGTCTGTCGGCGCTGTCTGCCTTACTCCCCCGACTTGTTAAGCAAAACACAGCAAAGAAACATTTGTAGTAAGTAACAACAACTACAAATACAACTACAACTACAACGGCACCAACAACAAAAACAACTCCAGCAACAAAATAGACTACAAAATGCATAGACAATGGCACAATTGTGCGTCCGTTTATGTGTGTGCGCGCGCGTGTGTGTGTGTGTGTGTGTGTGCTTATGCGTTGCTCATGTAGCTCTAAACAATAAAATACAAGCACAGCGAATATAAGAAAAAAACGACAGCTGTTAAAATTTTTACCACAAAACATATTTGAATGGCATGCAGCGCAAATTCGGTTCAAATATTTCACAAAACATGCAGGAATTGTGTGGAAGTATGAGCTGAATATACAGGAACACAAATTGGTATTTATACATATAATACACATACACTTCTTGTTAGCTTTGTCGCATTTAGCAGCGCTCAAAATATAGTATTTGTAACGGATAGTATAGAATAATGCACTCATTGTATTTGTTAAGTAAAGCAAACGCAAACGCAAAAGCATTCCTTATTGGAAACAATTTGTAGTGTTTAAAAATGTACAGCATTATGTATTTGCTCCCAACTAAATTCCAATGCAAGTCCTGCCTATTCCTGTCATAGTTATATTCCTTTTTTCTTCGAACTGGATTGCTACTAAGTTTCTATAAATTAACATTTAAATTAAATTGCAACAAATGTAAGTTAATTTAATTAAAATGCAAAAGACTGTAACTTCTAAATCTGACTTCATTTCGCAAATAATCTTCGTATAATTAAGTATTTAGTGCAATATTTAAGTCATGTTTAAGTTAATTAAACAAGCTTTTAGTATATTTTTTGTGGAGCCAAGGCCCTGCGGTAAAGTTATTTAAAATTCAAACAGACAGCTCACCTAATAAAATGCCAACTGACTGAACTTTCAATTTACACGAGCCTTTAATGAACTCTTGACATTGTGACCTGAAGGCAATTTAAAATGTACATAGCTGAGCCGTGGATGTAAGGTCTGCCCTATGCCATTGATTAGCAAACCCATCTATTCCTGCTGGGGCTTGACAGTCTGCCACTTATAATTAAGAGATTCACTCGTGGCTGCGTCGCCCACTTTGTCCGCCCCACGCGTTGCTAAGCATACAACTTAACTCCACTTTCAATTCAAGTCGAGGCTCTTTCAATTGCTTTAACAATCCTGTGAAAATAAACACTCCTGTTGTTGTGGCTATGACCGCGTTGGGTATTTTCAGTAATGAGAAACCCACAAGGCAGCCCCCAAACAGCTGCCGCCCAGACATCAAGTAACCTTCGAGAATCTGACGCCCGCGGCGCACAAAATAAAATAAAACTTCATTGAGCGCACCACAAAAGTAAACAGGCAACCTCTTCTGCTTACAATGTCGGCCCCATTTGGTTTTCAATCTCAAAGGCAACGACACACAAGGCAAAGTAAATATACGTATGCTGAGGAAATGTGCCATGTACTTACCAGCTTCACACAGGATGAGGAAAACGAGCGAAGGACCAAGCATGCTGGAAGAATATGAAAAACATAAAAGTATGTTAAATTACATAGTATTTGGCTTACTGATTTAGCCTGAATGACAATATCAAAGGTATAACTAGCACACAACAAAAAACGAAAACAAATTACGAACGCTGCAGTTTCCATAAATCATTTAGACCAACCAACAATGCTGCCATACACCTCTAGATATAAATGTACCTGCAGCACCTAGAGAAATAAACGGTGAGCATATTTCTTCAATTTCATAAAATGTGCGATAATGCGAACGAATAAGAGAATCGAAAGGAGATCTTTGTTTTATTTTTTGATAAATCAGCTAGAAGAGTCCATAATCTACGATCATTATTTTGATCCATATCCTTAATCAAAATATCCAATAAATTAACAAAAAATATATATTATATAATTTGTACATAGGTTCTTTAGGAGTGTATTATAGTTGTTTTGAGCAGTTTCAACATCATGTTTATAGGAAGGGACCATCAAATTCCCTAAAATAACTGGACTATGCACATTGAACTAATTTTAAAATGTTTGACTATTTTGAGAAAAAATTTACAAAGCACTTTCTTTGTCATATAATAAAGGTTTTAACAATAAATGAATTGACAACCTATAAGTCGCATAAAAATATAACGAATTTCTTAATTTTTATAACTCTATAGATCTGAACCGCATTTTATGAACCTGTTTAATTCTCAGGTCGAACATAAAAGTTCAAGTCTTCTCACGTTTCTAAATGTGATAGTAATTTTAATAATTCCTTTATCAAAAGTCTTAATAACAAATATATAAATAAAACACTATTGATTAATAAGTCTAATTAGGCACCCAACAAAAAACTGCTGGAATACTTGCATAAGGGCAGACTCCTTTGTGAAAAATCTAGCACCGTCTTATATTTCAAATCAAAGTTTTGTAACACATAAGAAGATGAGGTTCTTTGCACGCTTAACTCACAAGTGGCTAACAAACAACAATCATCACTACTCATCAGGCCGGATACTATTGTGTCTACCATCGTCAATGCGGACACACCCTTTAAAGTGCACTTCCTTTTTAGTCCAAGATTAAAATCAAAACTTCAACATTGGTTTCTGATGATGATGGTGATGATTTCGAGGAGATATTTCAATTTTTGGTAAGTGACCAAAATAGCCATAATTCTTTCAGTGTAGCCATGTATGTGTGTGATAACAACGCAAAAACACAAGCACATACATACTTGTAGAGGCAGCTGCAGATATGCGCTGTTTTTGCTCTTGTTGGTTGTTGGTTTGGTTGGGTCACTTGAAAATTATGGCAACCTGTGCCTGCCAGCAGCACCAATATAAGTTAGGTGGGGTGGACAAAGGGGCAGGTGGCCGGAAGGTAAAAATGTAGGCAGAGAGAGGGAAGGCTGGCAGCTGGGCTGTTGGCTTCGTTGCCTGAATGCCATTGTATTTCAAATTGCAGTTCAGCTTGCAAAAAGAGAACTGCCAAGCCACATGGCACTGCCAAAAGGAGGCAATTGCAGGCTCGCTGGCAGGCAAGCAGGCTGGTACGGTGCGGGGTGGAAATATGCACCTAAAAAGGCTGCAATACAACAATAAAACGCGCTGCCTATACGGAAAAATGGCCAAAAACAAACGAGCGTGGAGCAAATGCTTCAGCTCATTGCCAAAAATGTGAGCCAGCACCTTTTGCTTTAACAAGTATGTGTATGTTTGTTTGTTGCTATGTGTGTGTTTGTGTGTGTGGGTGTGGCGCCTAACATCACAAACATAGTTTCCTTTTCAAGTTGCGCCAAGGACTTGCACAGTTTTTGGCAATCAGCTAGGCAAGCAACTCCACACCTCTGCGCCGACCTCTTCACCTTAACGGACATCTCTATTTTTTGGCTCGCGCAACTTTGGCTCGTTAATATTTTTGGGCACAGCGGGCGTCTGTTGAAGGGCTTACATGTTGTTGCGCTTGCCAAAAACAAAAATTACAATAAACATTTCGCAAATACAACAAGCAAATCACACATACACACAAAAACTGAAGAAATAAACAAACATGCAAAATATACATCTTTATATACTTATATACATATACAAATAAGTTTTAATACATATTATATAAGCCAGCAGGGTGGCTCGCCAATTCAGAGCCGCTACATCATGGGCATGTCTGCCAACACACCGCCTCCCCCAAAAACATATTTGGCATATTAATTTTCTATTGTATGACCATAAATTTCTATGCTCTGCTCGGTTTAATTCCGCATAAAAAATTTATGCTGAAAAATGTTCGACGCCCACATAAGTAGGCTATGCTAAATTGTTGTGCAAAAAATTATGTCAAGCAAGTTGCAAACAAAGCAAAAACATTGTGGTTGTATTTTGTTGTTGCTATTGTCATTTGTCTGACGCTGTCTGAGTGCGCAAATAAAATGGCGCATAAAATTTTAATGCATATCAAATGATTTAATTTGGCGCTACATAAAAATGGACAAGCACCCTGGCCCCAGGGTCCACTGGACAAGGAAGGTCCTTCCGTTGTACGTGTGACTGTGCGAGTACAATTTAGACTAGTGTGTGCGTGCTGAGCATTTTCCGTTTGCTTTGTCGCCCTCCACCTCCCCCCACCATGCGAAAAAGAAGTTTCTTCTCTTAGCCATTGTACTTTCCTTCTGCTTTCTTTTTGGGCGTAACAGGCAGACAAATAAAAATGCGCCGTAATTACTTTGATGAAAAATGGCAGTTTTCATGATTAAGCATACATACATAAGTATGTACAGTAAAATTTCGTTAATTAAGACATTGATAATTGTTTCAGTGTTCATAGACTTAACAGTTATCTTTTTAATATCACTTTCGTCTACCTTTACTTTCGGGTACTTCTTCTCCTTATTTGAGAAAGGCTTACGTTTTTCCTTATTAACAGCATTCCCTAATGTATATAATATATATATAATATTTATTTATTTATTTATTTTCATCGACAAACAATGCAGTCGATGTACATAATATATGCTTCTACTATATGCAAAGAATGAGCTGTGACAAGATAATGCTGAAATAACCACGAATATATGCAAAAGTGCTTGAAATCTTTTGAAGGGATGTCCTTTAGTGCTCCTTTCATCCGAAAATGTCATTTTCAAAAAAGCTGCTGCCACATCATGCGAATGTGGCTCACAAAATATGCTGAAAGTGATAAATTTTCACACAATTTTTTGAGTGTCCGTCAATTTGTGCGAACCAAATCATGCATACACCGCTTGATAGCCAAAATGTTTGCTTAAAACGCTTCACATTTTGTGAATACGCACATTGGCGAATCTCTGATAAAATTTCACATATTTTGAGCGCACTAAGTCGCAAAGTTTTTTTAGCCCTTCCAAATTTATGCGAAGCTAAGGACATAAATAAAACATGTTTAATTGATATTCTGAAGTTGTTTTTTTATTAATCATGGTTATTTGGAGGAAGGAATATGTTATTCTTATATTGCGTACTATCGAGCTGTTACTGTAAATACAAATGTGCGTGTATGTGTGTGTGGCACAATTCACTTGATTACACATACGCCATGTTGTGCCGCGCTAAGGAAATTAATCTGACTAACGGAAGTTAACTGCTCGCCAACTGGCTAGCTGTGTGTGTTTGTGCTTGTGCGTATGTGTGTTGGCTCCTAATGATGTCAGCCACATTTGCAACACGCAGTTACCACATTAGTTGTAATTGCGACAGCATGTGTGTAAGTGGCAGCAACGAATATGAAAAGCAGGCAAACGTAATCATTTTAAAGCGATGGCAACATAATTTAAGGACTATTAGAGTAAGCACACCCACCCCCTTCAAAAAAATAAAAATAAAAACGCACACACTCAGCTACAACTGAGAGACACACGTTCAAGTCCTTTGTGTATTTTTAACTAAAGATCGACAAAATATGCCAGAAATGGCAGACAACGAAGACATGAAAAATCTTGTGAGAAAAACAGCTTGCCATAAAGAATGCGCGAGAAAAATTGCAATTGCGATAGTGGCTGCAGTGGCAGCAGCAGTGGCAGTGGTAGTGGTAGTGGCAGGCAACAACAATGACCAGGCCAAATAAATTGCAACAAAAATGAGCAATGAGTAATTCATATTGCGAGCTGTTGGCAGCAAGCAGAAGAAGCTCGAGCGGTGGCTTGGGACAGCAACCAAGCCAGCACGAGCAATTCAACGGGCCATCAATCTTGACGTTGCTGGCGCCGCAGCGTCTGCGTCAATTCGAAGAGCGACCAGAAACCGACCACGGATCACGGACACACGCTTTTATGTGGCTTCGGGGAATTATGTATGTATGTATGTATGTATGTATGTGTGTGTATAGTGGCTACGTGCTTGTAAATGCCATAAATTTTCATGGGTTGCCCGAAAACTTTGCGACTAACACACATCAACATCAACAGTAGCCACAGCAACAACTACCGCTACCGCTACCGCTACAGCTACTGATACAACTACAACAAGAACAAGAACAAGAACAACAACAATGAAGACTCGCAACATGACGACGTCGACATTTGGCGTTCATAAAACGCAATTTTGATTTGCAAAATTTATGTGAGCACATTAAATGCGACGCTGGCCAACAGTTGCGTTGACAGTGGCAATGGCAGTGGAACTGGCAGTGGCAGTAGAAATAACAGATATAGCAACAGCTTGTTGAACGACATAATCGTCGCTGTTATCATCATCAACAACAACAACAACAAAGACTACAACAACATGAATGTGCAGCAGCGACAGGTGTTGTCGTTACGCAGCATTATCTTGGACTGAGGTTGCATATTTAAGCAACGCCAACGCACAAAATGATAAGCTACGGTTATTAATGGATTTTCTGCTTCAGTCAGACAGTTTCATTTTACTCCTTTTCAGAGAGGGGCAGGAAACGCAGTTTTGCAGACTTTGATGAAAACAGTAATATGAATAAAATTTCATATAATATAGAATAATATAACAGTATCAATATGAATCTTTTATTT